GACGGTGCCTGGAGGAGGGGCTCCACAGCAGGAGGCTGCCGGAACAACCCCTGTGAGTCTGCAGTAAACACTCTGCTCAGTCCCAGTAAGGCCCACCCAATCCAAAGCAAGCCCAACCCAATCCAAAGCAAGCCCAACCCAATCCAAAGCAAGCCCAACCCAATCCAAAGCAAGCCCAACCCAATCCAAAGCAAGCCCAACCCAATCCCAGCAAGCCCCACCAAATCCCAGCAAGCCCCACCCAGTCCCAGCAAGCCCCACCCAGTCCCAGCAAGCCCCACCCAGTCCCAGCAAGCCCCGCCCAGTCACAGCAGGCTCTGCCCTGCCCATACTCCTCACACCACAATGTGGGACAAACTCATCCAGCATAATGCTGTAGCCCAGATCATGTGCTAACACAAACATACCCCACACATTTCACTCCCTCTAGCATCCATACCGTACCCCCACCCTAACCCTACCCCTCACCCTAACCCTAACCCTAAGCCTTCCTCCCATCACTCCTGGGCCACACTGGAGCACCATTTTTCCATATTAATGAGTAAGTGGTATCAGTTATGGCTGAGATATACTTAGCATATTGATACCTATGGAAAGGTGTTTTAGTGATATATTTCAAAGAGAAAGTGTCTTTTCAGTGTCCTCACAACTTCAGCTGCAGCCTTACCGGAAGCTACCGGGAGCTTTTTGTATGGTGTCAGTTTGTTTATGAGATTAAAAGTCATCAGTTATATTAAGAGGCAGTAGAAAGTCCCCACAATAGCGATCTGGGGTGGTGGGATTCTCAACAAGTGAGAGATCTATGCCCGTATCCGCAAGGTCGTAGGTTTGAAACCTATGGTTCCCAAGAGTAGTCATATCACTTTTGGGCCCTTGAGCAAGGCCTCCAGCCCCAACCACTGCAGGGACTGCTGACCCTGTGCTTAGACCTCCTGAACAACACCCTCTCTCATTCAGCGCAAGGAACGCCAACGAATTCCAGTGGCAAATAAATGAAGTAGCTTGTCCTTCGTGCCAGTGACCCAGTTTCTCATGTCAAACCGCTTCTCCCTCCACAGACACATTCTGGATGAATCCGCAGTTCCGGATCAAGCTGGACGAGCAGGACGACGACCCGGACGATAACGAGATGGGCTGCAGCTTCGTGGTGGGACTCATCCAGAAGAACCGGCGGCAACTGAGAAAGACGGGCGAGGACATGCACACCATCGGCTTCGCCATCTATGAGGTGAGCAGATCTCCAGTGTGATGGGCCAGAGGCGTCAAGGTTCCCATCTCGGTGCCCCCTACTGGACGGTGGTCATATTGTCACCAATCAAAACTGAGTCTTTGTAAATGAAAATCAGTATTACTGCGCATTTTCAGTTGTACATGTTGTGGAAGAACTGGGGAAGAAAAAGATTTTACTAGTCAATAGAATCCCTTAGTCCCTTAACTATGTAGACCCATTGAAAGCTGGAAACCTTCATGACAGATTGCATTTGTTTATGTTATATATTTTTGTTTTTGTTGCAGATTCCTTCTCAGGTGAGCATCCCATTGACGCTGTCGAATCTCAAGGTCATATGAATATGGCGGCATTTTGGTGAATTGTAATTGTGATTGTGTGGTAGCTTTGATAAGCGAATCCTCACTCTGCTTCACAATGCACTGCTAGTTTTGCCATTTTTATTAATCTTATAGGGATGTCCTGTTGTAAATAAGATATTTCCGTGACCTGTCCTGTGAGAGATGCACTTAACAGGAAGTGTCTGGCTGGGCTCCCGCCACTCTGACCTGATTGGTTTTGTGCCCTGTCAGTTCCGTGACCTGTCCTGTGAGAGATGCACTTAACAGGAAGTGTGCGGCTGGGCTCCCGCCCCTCTGACCTGATTGGTTTTGTGCCCTGTCAGTTCCGTGGCCAGACCGAGGTCCACCTGGACAAGAACTACTTCCTGACACATGCGCAGACGGCCCGTTCAGAGACCTTTGTCAACCTGCGAGAGGTGAGCTCACGCTTCAAGCTGCCCCCTGGCGAGTACCTCATCGTGCCCTCCACCTTCGAGGCCAACAAGAACGGGGACTTCTGCCTGCGCGTCTTCTCCGAGAAGCAGAGCGAAGCACAGTGAGATTTCTCCCCTCACTCATTCACCTATCTCTCAGTATTTTCCTTCTTCCTGACTGTTTTACTTTCTAATTTTGCGGTCCATTTGTAAAACTTTAATTCTGCACACTTAGGGGGTTGGGTTAATTGTTTTATGATATTTCAAAGGCTTTTTCTCTCCCTTATTCAGGTTGTGCGAGGATCCAGTTGAGGCAAACGTGGATGATGTAAGCAGTTATGTTATCTATTTTCTCATTATAACCCCACATTCTTGGTACCATAACTTAATTTTTTTACCTGTTTCAGGAGACAGTATCTGAGGAGGAGGTTGACGCAGGATTTAGGGGCATGTTCTTGAAACTGGCTGGACCTGTAAGTATTGCTTATTGGTCAAAACATCCTTCTAATGAATCCTACCACCCTGTTGGTTTGGTCATGTTAGCTTCTCATATGCTATGAAATGGCTCTGCGTTTATGGCTGTTTGATTTGCTTCTTTGCTAACCAGCTGTTATCCTGTATTTACAGGACAGGGAGATTTCTGTCACAGAGCTGCAGACCATTTTGAATAAAGTTGTTGCCAAACGTAAGCTGATCTCTTACGAGGTGCAGAAAAACAACTGAATGTCTTATTGAGTTGCCAAGTAACAGCTGTCTGTTGTCATTTTGTCAAAGGCACTGACATAAAAACTGATGGCTTCAGTGTGGACACCTGTCGGGTCATGGTCCATCTCATGGATGTATCCTTCAGTAATCTACACAACATCAGAACGTTGCTTTGACAGCTTACTTTTCAGTCGGGCCATGAACTCAGCCGATATCATCACATATATGCAGTGAGAGACAGAGATCATCCACATTCCGGTACGGTCTGCTGACTGTTTTATTCAGGTCTGTCGTTTTTATACCTAAATGCAAGGGGAGCGATTTCAGACGTGATTGATCGCAGTTTTCCTTGACTGAAGAGCAGGACAGCGGGAATGGCAAACTTGGAATGGGAGAGTTTGCCTCGCTGTGGAAGAAGGTCCAGAAATTTCTGGTAAAATACTCCTTATGACCCATAAACACTGGCTATGGTGCTGAAATTTTATTTGTCAAGGAGATCCAAATCCGGTGCTCACATTGGCTAACAGGATGTGACAGTTACTGATTTAGTGAACTTTTTAAGATTATGTTGTAAAGAAATCCACTGCAGCATGACTTACTACAAAATACCTACTATACAATTTTATTTTGACCCATTTGAGGCCTGCTGTATACTTAGATTAGATTAGATACATGTTTTCTACAGCCAGTATTTACTGGGAGGCCAGTAGTTGTGCTGTCCCTGAATCTGAACACACGTCTCTCTGTCCCTGAATCTGAACACACGTTTCTCTGTCCCTGAATCTGAACACACGTCTCTCTGTCCCTGAATCTGAACACACGTCTCTCGTTCTAGGCAATCTACAAGAAGAATGACACAGATGGATCTGGGACTATGAGCACTCCAGAGATGCGCATGGCCCTGAAGGAAGTTGGTATGTGAAGGAACACGGCTGGCCATGCCCCCCCCCCTCCCCTCCCCTCCCCCCCAGCACAGCCTGGGCCTTCACCGGTCTCTCTGTCATTCACAGGGTTCAGCCTGAACAACGAAATCCATCAGATCCTGGGAGCTCGTTACAGCAACCCGGACATGACCATCGACTTCGACAACTTTGTCAGCTGCTTGATTCGCCTGGAGCTGATGTTTAGTAAGTTTCCCGACAAACGTGAGTTCCTGCATTTCAGGAAGTGGCGACAGCCAAGAACACACATCAGTTTACCGCTGGCTGGTGGTTCTGCGTGTCGCCAAACCATGTAACAAATACGACACTGACATTCCCGATTATTAAATGTCATGCTACTTTGAGCTGTGCTGATGGATATTTATAAAAAGGCCTCTTTGTTATGAATAGACCACGGCTACAAAACTGCAGGTTTGACCGAGAGCTTGAAATCTCTTTTCTTTCATGTAGAAATCTTCCGGAAGCTGGACATGGATAAGACTGGCTCCATAGAGCTGGACTTCATCCAGGTGAGACTGCATCCGATTTGCGACAGAACACAGTGCCAGCATGTAGACGGCTCACTTAGCCTCTTATTTCCTTTAATTGTGTCCCATGACAACAGTAGCCGTTGGCGATACCGATATCACAGTTGTGATGTTTTCTTTGTTTGTGCTTTTCCAGTGGCTGTCGTTCTCTATGATCTAGATGACCTTCACGTATGTACTCACCAGGAGCCGTTCATCAAAAACACTTAATTCATTGATTTGAAATGTTTATTACAGTTATGTCATTTCATACTATAATATATTGCACAATTATTGGCTTCATTTTATGTTTGATGGTTCTTTTTTTGTGACTTAGTATGGAAAGAACTACAGCAATAAATGTCAAAAATGGTCACTCTGTGTTGTGTTTTGATTTTTTTTTGGAGGGGGAGGGGGAAACAGTTATAATGGTGTGTGTTTTTGTTTTGACAAATATGAGCTTTAGGTTGAAATGCACAGTGTATGTGTATGTTCCGTGTCATACTAGTTGACCGGACACAATTTCAAATATTAATAATTTTTATATGGAAATATAACTTAAGGTGTGTTAAATGGTAAACTCATGATTTTCTAATAAAATACTTCCTCATTCTGTTTCCCAAAATACTCTAAAAAGTGATTTACTTTAACATCCCCGGCTCCTGTTACTAAAATTAATACCTAATCTATTAAAAGATGGCTGGATGGATGGATCAGATCAATCTACGGGTTGCTGGGAGTTCGACAAATTGCACAAGCACGCTAACAAGAACTGAAAGGAACCGTAGGAGACTTTGGCCTGTTGCCTATACTGAGTCATCCTTGTTTTTTTTTCTTTTTCAAGTACAGTTTCTATCGATCAGGAGCATATCAGCACTATACAAACCTGAAGAGTGCCAGGCCTTCGCTCACACTGGAACGATCGGAGCGAGTTACTTTACAAGCCTGTGCATTCGGCCCATTATTTTAAATATAAAGGTTAAATTCCCAGGAGGCTGGAGACTCGGGTAATTAATACTGCATTTAAGGCGCGGCCTTTTATCTAAACAGGGATCTCCGTAGTCTTAGGGCGCCAGTCGGTAGTATCACTCGCACCGCCTGGTTCCTCTCCTCCGCTGGAGGTGCTGTGCTCGGCAATCAAAGCTGGCAAGACTGCAGCGCAGTACCGCTATAGTGGGTTCAGGCTCTTTAAAGGAAACCTTAATAGCACCGATTGCGGCTGTCCTCCTCTTAATCCTTATCGGCAGTCCCCGGCAGGCTCGGCCTGCGTAATACCAGCTGCTTGCAAGGAATCCAGCGGCGTAATTTCTACCCTCGGGGTCCGGGTTTAAGGACGGGGTCCGGGTTTAAGGACACGGTCCGGCCTGACAGAAGCGTGTCCCAGGACAGTCTGTGTGCCATTGATTTGTGGTAAGTAGCGATTCATGCGTGGATCTCGCATGTGTGTTTATATTCGCTTAGTAACACGTGATTGACGAGTTTAAACTCATATTGCCTTGGGCTGTAAGCTACGCGTCCGTCACGTCAGAGGATCGCGATCGCTGAGATGGTAACTGCAAGGTGGTTTACTTTGTTTCTACAGAGTTTGAGATACGAATGCCATATCAGATCTGGCTTTGTCATCTGGAAGGGTGCTTGGGGTGATTTTGTACTTGTTAGCACGTGCATGGGGGTGTTATTTGGGTGATCTCTAAATGTTTTTGCTAATTGTATTTGTGCTATTATTATTATTATTATTTATTATCATTATTATTATTATTTACGTCAAGTCCCCGTTATTATCTCATCTCATTTAGCTACTCGTCAGAGCCGAAGCATCTACCGAGGCGGTCATAGATTATTCATGTAGACATTAAAACTGGTAACTGAAACTTCGCTTTACTAAGGTTTTCCAAATTTGGTTTGGTTAAAATAACTATGAGCAGCTCGGTTTTTGTTTTTCTACTTCCAGAAACTGGGACTGATGTTTTTTTATTTTTAACAGAACCACAAGACATTTATGCAAAGTCATTTTAGATATTGTTAGGAATTATAAAAAATGTATTAATTGTAAACTACTTTCAAACAGGCAATACTAAATTGTGCCTTATGATTTGCTGCCTTAAAATATCTCGGCACACCTTTATCATATTATCATACTTGTATATAAATAAAAATTAAAAACATCCTTCCAGACGCTGGATTATAAGATGTTTTAGTGTGGTCACACGTGTTTAGTTGCCTTTAGGTGCTTGTTTATCACAGTGATCCGGTGCTTTTCTTCAGGAAACGTATTTTTTTTATTTCTCCTTCTACGCTGATTGGTCGCCGACTTGTATTTATTCCTGCCTCGTTAAAATCACAACAGCCCCCTGAATGGTCCCCGTGGGACCGCCTGTTGGCATGGCGGCGGGGGGGTTGGCTCAGCTGTCCCATGAACTCAGGGAGCCCGCACTCCCCCGGCAGACAAACATGGCCGTACTGAGAGACGCTGTTTTGCTTTTGGCGGAGAGAATCCAGTCTCCCTCCCCTCGGAGTTTCACGGTGTAGCAGTTTCTTGTTATCGCGGTTTTCAGTCACGAACTAGGCCGACATTAAACTAAACCAAAGCTCCTCTTTTCCTTTGGATCCACAAATTATAACCCTGCAGGCCTGTGCTCCGCTCACCGGCGTCTGGTTTTTTAAGTGTTTACGGTGACACAGGAATGCATAAACGCACATATACAGGCTCAGCAGCAGAAATGGGGGGGCTTGTCTCAAACTGGTGGCTTTCCTGCTTTCAACTGCCGGACATTATGAAACCACGATGATTCTTATTGAGCTTCTGCTCATCTTAAAGCAGTTTCTAAACGAGAAAAGGCTATTAGTGTAAACATAAGCTTCAAAAATCCAGATTATTTTAATTTAATAGATGTGTTTGTTGCATGTAAAAGCAAAAAAAAACCTCAGTAGTCACACATGCAGCTGACTGCTATTGGCTGCCTCGTTAAAAGCACCCACCAATGGCATCGCGCCTGCTTAGCCTCATTAGCCAAGCGATACTTGGATGAGCTGACATTAAAATTGAATAACCATGCACAACCTATAGTCAGTGCTAGTTTCCTACTTTGGCTCGAATAAGCAATATTGGACTTGACATGTGGCTAAGGCTCTGCCCGCAGCAGGCGGCCATGCTGTATGTGGGCCTTGGCAAGCTCTGGCGCACCTCTGGCTTGGCAGTGGTTGCTGGGGGCAGCTGGAGCACTACGTTAGGCAGGCTAACCCCTCTGGCTGGACCTCAGGCTTAGCGTGAAATACGGGCCTGCCCAAAAGCTTTGTTTAGGTGGAACTTATGGCTTGATCGGGGGGTGTTCATTACTATTCATGCCAGTTTTCTGTTAGGTTTGGAAGCTGTGATGTGAATAACAAAACCTGTGTTGATTGTTTTTCCGAGAATTACAGCCAACGTTCTCTTTCCCTTAAAGCAGTGAGGCGTCAGGTAATCCTACCTTACTCTGCCTTGCTTGCTGTTGTCTTTTGCCCTGGGGCAGGTGGGCTGCACAGAGCACACCCGCAAAAAGCCTGTTGTCGCAGTTTAAATGGAGCATTTTGCTCTCATTTCCTCGAATTCACATGTCGAACTGACAGCCCATCTTCCCCTGAGCTTTTGTCACAGTCTCGTCTGCAGTACTTTGCATCTTCTTTTCTCCTTCTGTTATTTTCATGGTACCTATTTTTGGTGTTTTCCCCATAAAAGTGGCAGTACACAAAAAATAAAGCTACTTTCGCTTCAGCCCAGCAGCGGGGTGTTTTGTGTTCATTAAAACATGTTTCCAGTGAGGAAGCACGTGATTGTATTGTTTGACCTTCATCAGCCACCGTAGTACAATTCACAGGTGTGCATTTCAAACTTTTCATGAAGCCAAACATCAAGCAAAGTAAATGTAGTCTGCTCTGTCGCTCAGAGATGTTCTGTACCTCAACTGACTCCCCTCTGCTGCCTGCTGTAATGGCGTCTCATAAAACTGACGTTGCAAAGCGTGTCAGCTTTGTGCGCATGCATAATTTAACTTGCCATTTATCCCTGCCAGTTCAGTTTTTCATATGTATAATATTGCTTAGCAATGTAATAATCTTTTTGTGTTAAATGGATTGTTAAGGAGGCCGCGCTGTGGCTTAGAGGGGAGCAATATGATCTCACACTTTGGGGGTTGCGGGTTCGAAACCCGCTCCCAAGGCTGTGTTTGCATGTTCTCCCCCTCTCCGTGTGGGTTTTCCCTGGGAACCCTGCTTACCTCATGCTCTGTGTGTATTTGAGCGCGTGTCCTTTATACCGATTGTGTTTGACATCTAATTGAGCAATGAAAAGATAGTTTATGAAGTCTTCTGTTAAAGTAGTATTTATGTTTGTACTAGTTAACATTTGTATTCATGATGGTCATTTGTATCATTTATTATACAAATCATAGCTTCAAAGGAGGGACTGACTCCATACTGATGCTTCTGGATTTACAATGTAATGTTTTAAAAGCTCCGGGGGGGGTAATGGCCAGGTGTCCCAATACTTTTGTCCATACAGTGTGGTCGTTTTTCCATCGGACAGCAACAAGATGGTTGTTATTCTATAAAAGGAGGTTCATTGAAGTATCTTGAGAGTATGTATCTGGGGGGCAGCATACGGTTTTACGTTCTTCCTTAGACTGAAAACACACTTAATGGGATGACAGAGGAGATACTGACACGGGAGAGTGATGGTCTGCTTAGTTTCAGCCACCATCCCTGTCCTGGGTGCGCCGGGGGGGTATTTATAGACCCGCTGTGGGTAAGTCTGTCGTTCTTATTTTATCTGGCCAGTATGTACCCCTCTGGAGGGATCTCAACTCGCATACAGGCGGACAGGCTGAAGGCGGACGGGATGGGCTCCATCGAGCAGGCCGTGAAGTTCCTCAACCAGGACTACGAGGCCCTCAAGCAGGAGTGCCTGGAGAGCGGCTGCCTCTTCGAAGACCCCTGCTTCTCGGCCGAGCCGGCCTCGCTCGGCTTCAAGGAGCTGGGCCCCAACTCCTCCAAGACCAGGGACGTGGAGTGGCTGCGTCCCACAGTAAGGCTGAGCAGCGGGGGGGTGGCAGCGGGGATCTGGGCCTGGGAGCTCGTCGCCGTGGAGGGAGGTCCGACTCCATTGCTGAAGTCCGCCGTGCTGGTGTTTGTTTAGTGGGAAGAGGATGTTCTGGTGTCTGGCCAGGATCAGATTGCCAAACCCCAAATGCCATTCAAACTAGTGTCAGAAGCAGCCTGATACGTTCATTCCTGCCGGCTACATGCAGTTTAATAGCATCATAGTCTGGGGG